AGAGCATGCTCAAATATTTCGTTTGAGTACTAGAACTCATCCATTGGGTTTGTGGAACTCAAGATATGATGCTACCAAGTTAGAGGTCTCAGATGAACATATTTTCAATCAACAAAAGTCAACCAACTTCCAAGACACTTTTGACCTAGAATCAAGTTTCTCCTCAACTTGAAGTGAACATGAGATTTGTTTCTTACGATCTTAGATTTCGAAAAAGTCCTAGAAGTCCTTGATATCATTTATGGGACTCAAGTTATGAAGCTTGCAAGGCAAGGGTATTTTGGGAAACTTTGATTATAGGTCATTTTCATTATAGGTCATTTTCATGCCCTTAAGTACTTCAAATGGAACTTCAACCAACATGAAAGTTGTCCCAAATGACCTCAATTTCATCATAAAACTCAAGATTAGTGTGAGTTATGTTTGGTTATGAACATTGGTGAAGAAATTTCAAGTAAAAATGAGCTTTAAATCATGATTTCAATTGAATTGATTTTAAGTCTTTTTCATGCCACATTTTGATTCAATTTGGTCCACAATACTCCAACAAATAAAATGCACAAATTTATTTTGGTCCATGATGTGCAAAACACGAGAAAATTAGAGTTACTTCACAAATAAGATTCACTTCCAAACTCCATAATTGGATCACCAATCAAGCCCAATCTAATTCCATGTTAAAATTCAAATTGTCAGCTGCAAGTCCATGCTATCTTCATGTGTGTATGCACTGATTTCCACGTGTGCACGAGCAAGTCATAAGTTTTGGGTATTTTCAAATTTCAACTAATTGGAGCTTCATGGGCCTCCAATTGCTTCACATATCCAACATATAAAAGCTCCAAATGAAATTTGAGAGCTCAGAATTGCATTTTCGTGGAGAGAGCTCAGAATTCAGTTTTAGAAACTTGAGAGAAAATTCAAAATCGTGAATTCAGATCCAGAGCAATTCAAGTAAAATTGAAGCAAGAATTCTCTTCCTCAAGCAATTTGGAGTTGATCTGCACGTTTGCAAGCAAGAAATCACTCAATTGAAGCACCAATGGAGTGTCTCCGTTAGGTAACTTTCTTCTTCCATTTTCTCTCATGCTAGAGCTTGAATTGGGATCATGTTGGCTGCATCTGAAGCCATACCTCGTGTAGGTAATGTTTGAATGCTTAATTGTCATGTTTGGTGAAGTTTACAGATGTGCATTCCAAATTTCATTCGTTCGAATCTCTTGATTTAAGCAAGTTTAAAACAATTGAACCATGGAATAATGACCTAAAAAGCAATAAAAATACTTAAATATAACATTCAGGATCTGTCATGTTCGCCTAGCGAAGCCTTCGCTCTGATTTCGCCTATGGTACTTTCGGTTCTGTCCAAATCTAGGAGTGTTCGCTAGAGCTTCGCCTAGCGAATTTAGGGTCGTGCTCACAAGAGTTAAACTATTTATTTGATCAGAAGAAAATGAATATGAGGCAGAGGAGATGGCTTGGACTTCTGAAGGATTATGATTTTGCCTTGAGTTACCATCCAAGTAAAGCGAATGTGGTAGGTGATGCATTGAGCAGAGAGTCCTTCCACGTGTCAATGCTTATGGTTTGTGAATTGGAGTTGTTGGGACAATTCCAAGATACGAGTTTAGTATGCGAAGAAACTCATGTCAGTGTAAAGTTAGGTATGTTAAAGCTGACTAGTGGTATTCTAGAATAGACCAGAGACAATCAGGACATTGGCTTAGGATTGATAGACCGTTTGGTGTTGATCAATCAAGGAAAAGGTGGAGAATGCAGGATTGATGAGAACAATGTGATAAGATTCAGAGATAGAGTTTGTGTTCCAGATGTGCCGGAACTTAAGAATAGTATTCTTGAGGAAGAACGTCGAAGTGGTCTGAGTATTCATTCTGGTGCCACAAATATGTATCAAGACTTGAGGAAGTGGTTTAGGTGGCCCAGTATGAAGAAAGAAGTTATCGAATTTGTTTATACTCGTTTGACTTGCCATAAGTTAAAGATTGAACATCAGAAGTCGTAGAGTAATAATTTGATTTGGATAATAATGGATAGATTAATTAAATCACTAACATAATTACTAGCCTCACACTTTAACTCAAATGAGAGGTATTCTAATTAAATATTACTAGTGGGATACTCGTGCGTTTGCACGGATACCGATATAGTACACACATTTATTTCTAAAGTATAATAAAAATAAAGTAAATAAAAAATAAAATTGTATAACCAAAAAAAATTATTCCTTTATAAGAGAATACATTGGTGTCTATAATTTTTTTCTATATAAAAATATTTGAATTAACAATATTTTTCTTTTGTATGTACATATTATTTATGTTTTGATACTATTTTTATTTTTCTAAAATTATTCTCATTTATTTAAATAAGATCATTTAAAAATATTTGGATCAATAATATATTTCAGTACTTATATACTAATTGATAAATTTCTATTATTTAATATTTTAATTAGCAATTTTATTTTTCTCGTTCACATAATCTCTTTAAATCCGTGGCTATGCACAGGTACTTGTATGATAGTAAAAATAAAAAGAAAAAAAATAAAATTGCTTAATCAAATGAATTTATTATTTAGAAGAAAAAAAGACATATTTTTATTTATAATTAGATCATAAATATAATTTTTACTTGTACGAAAATATTTTTCCATCTATGAGTAGTGGAACTTTAGAAATTACAATATTTTGGGAAAAGCGATAATAACAATCATATAGGTAAAAGAATTATAAATTATAAGGATGAAATAATTTGAAACTTAGAAAAACTCTAATGTTGGATTAGTTTTGTGTTAACAATTCTATTTTCTTTGTCTTCTTGATTTTTAGTGGGTGGATCCACAAGATCACTTATAATTATTATTTTTTTAGTTAATCAAAGTTTATTGATTCAATATATATATATATATATATATATATATATATATATATATATATATATATATATATATATATATATATATATATATATATATATATATATATATATATATATATATATATATATATGGATAAACAATAAATTTTTTCGTAAGTAAATATTATTTTTGTCTTATTTTTTTATTATGAGTTTAATATGTATTATTCCTAAAATATATTAATTTTATTTTTTTATTATTAAATAATTAAAAATATTTCATATTATCATACAACTTTGATACTATTAAATTCATATATTACTTATGTATTTCATATTATCATACAATTTTGATACTATTAAATTCATACATTACTTATGTATTTATTTTTATAATATTATCAATTTTTATATTATAATACATTATCTTTTGTAATCTTTAATTTTTAATATATTTTAGCTGTCTTATTTTATGTTTATAGTATTTATTTTAAAATATTTAGATCAATAATATATATTTTTTTAATATTTAAACAATAATAATCACGTATTTTTTTGTGTTTGGCCAACAATAAAAATATTTAATAAATTGTAGTAAAAAATTATCATAAATTTCTAGTTACAATCATTGCAGTCAATTTTTATATTTTAAAATCAGTCACAGAAACAAAAAATAAAGTAAACAAAATATTATTTCAAATCATTTATGCATTGGATATCATTCTATCATAAACATGCATTTAAAAGATTTAATTTATGTATTCTTTCAGAAATATAATTTAATTTTTATTTATAATATGCTTATTTTTCTTAATTAGAAATTATTGCATAATTAATACTTTTATGATAATTAAAAACATGTTTATTAATTATATAGGCAATAAAAATATACATATTTAATAGTTTCTATATAATTAATATATTGTAATAAAATTAAAACTTATTTTTGGTGTAGTTTTTTTTTTACCAATTTTATTCTTATTTATACGTAACTTACACAATAACGTTCATTAAAACTACTACTATTATTAAGTTACATATAAGTCAGGTAAAATTGATAAAAAAAATAGATTACACCAAAAATAAATTTTAACTTTATATATACTAGCGGGCAGACGGACACACTTTTTTAATGCACACACATCACATATAAATAAGGAGTAAAATTGGTAATAAAAAAAATTACGCCAAAAATAAATTTTACCTTTATATATGTCATAGATAACTACGGGGAAGCGATCAATATTTTTTTAAAAAATAATATTATTGTTTAGTAGAAAAACATACTCTTTAATTAAAAAGTTACACAAAAAATTTCTAATCATAGATAATCCCGCGTGTCCTAAAATTTTTTTCAATTCTTTTTTTCACTTCTTTCACGTTGAGAAGTGGTGGTAATTTTTCTATTACCTATATTTTAGTTTGATCAACTTCAATGGCTTTTGAAAAGATTTTACGTCTTAAAAAATTCCTCCAATAACTCCTAAAATGACATTTTTTTCTAATATAAAAAAATTAGTTTATAAAAATATTAATTATTTTAAAGTGTGTGAAAAACTTAAAACTAAATTAACTTTTTACATGATATAGTTTGATGATAATAGGACTTAAGGAGTAGACCCAAATTAATGGCGCGTGCATTAAGGATTGGACCCAACCTTGACACATACTTTTCCAAGATTTCGTCACACACTATTGGCGGCGCAATACCTATGATCTCTCCAAAAACAACAAAAAATTTAAAACTTACTACCCCATTTAATTTCCTTTATCTCCCCCCACTAACCAAATCATTACTCTCAATTAATAATCATAACACCTTTCCCATTTAGTATATCAATAATCCTATTATTTTTCCGTAACATACGGTCTCTTACTATAGTATTTTAATCTCATGTGTAACGTATGTAACATAACATAACATAACCTAACCATAAACCATAATAATCATAACCGTTACTAGTTTTTCATTTTCATTTCACCTATTCCTCTTCCTCTTTTTCTCCCTATATATATTCCTCAACCACCTCTACTTACTCACCAAACCACACTTCACTCCTTCCTCCTTTCTCCTTCATCTCTCACAAACCCTTTCTCTCTCTTCTCTTTCTCTCTCTCTAACCATGTCTACCCACATTGATAACCTCTGGATATTCGCCCTGGCTTCAAAATGCACACAAGAAAACATTGTTTACTCTCTCTTGATCATGGCTTTACTCTGGCTAACCATGAATTTCTTTTACTGGTCTCACCCTGGTGGTCCTGCTTGGGGCAAGTACTATTATTCCAACAACATCAACAAAAACAAAAACAACCTTAATTCATCTCCTATGTTCATTCCTGGTCCTAACGGTTACCCTCTAATTGGAAGCATGAACCTTATGTCTTCTTCACTAGCTCACCACCATATCGCTTCCGCCGCAAAAACATGCAAAGCAACTAGACTCATGGCTTTCAGTCTCGGTGTCACACGTGCCATAATCACGTGTAACGCTGATGTAGCCAAAGAGATTCTCCATAGCTCTGTTTTTGCTGATCGTCCTATCAAAGAATCAGCTTATTCTCTCATGTTCAATAGAGCCATAGGTTTCGCACCTTACGGTGTTTATTGGCGAACCCTTCGAAAAATCTCAACCAACCATCTTTTCTCACCCATGCAAATCAAATCATCTGGGCCACAACGCACTGAAATTGCGACTCAGATGATTGATTTGTTTCGAAACCGCGGGTTCGGTCCAGTCCGTGATGTTTTGAAAAAAGCATCGCTTAATAACATGATGTGCTCTGTTTTTGGACAGAGGTTTAAGATTGATGAAGTTAATGAGAGAGTGATGGAACTTAGTGGGTTGGTTGAACAAGGTTATGATTTGTTGGGTTCTCTTAATTGGGGTGATCATCTTCCTTTTTTGAAAGATTTTGATGTTCAAAAAATCCGGTTCAATTGTAATAATTTAGTACCGAATGTGAACCGGTTTGTTGGTTCAATCATTTCCGACCACCGAGCCGACAAAAACCAAACCAACAAGGATTTCGTTCATGTTCTGCTTTCTCTTCAAGAACCAGATAAATTGTCTGACTCCGACATGATCGCTGTTCTCTGGGTAAGTTTATTAAAATTTCAAATATATTTTTTTAATATTTTAATTTAAAAAATATTACACTTGAGACAAAAAAATGAACTTTAATTTATTTTCTCAGGAAATGATATTTAGAGGGACCGACACGGTTGCGGTTTTGATAGAGTGGATACTAGCGAGGATGGTGCTTCATCCTGACGTGCAAAGGAAGGTACAAGCTGAGCTTGACACGGTGGCGGAAGGAGGTGCATGTGGTATTATGGAGGAGGACATGGCGGCGACGGTATATTTACAGGCGGTTATAAAGGAGGTTTTAAGGTTGCACCCGCCAGGCCCACTACTTTCGTGGGCCCGACTGGCCATCACCGATACGACAATTGATGGGTATCACGTGCCAGCGGGGACGACAGCTATGGTAAATATGTGGGCCATAGCTAGGGACCCAAAAGTGTGGAGGGACCCACTTGAATTTAATCCCGAGAGGTTTATGAGTGAAGAAGGTGTTGAGTTTTCGGTTCTCGGGTCGGATCTTAGGTTGGCTCCTTTCGGGTCGGGTAGAAGAAGTTGCCCCGGAAAGAATCTGGGTTTAGCTACGGTGACTTACTGGGTTGCTAAGCTTTTGCATGAGTTTGAATGGAAGCCGTTGGATGGATTGGATGGAATGGTCGGTGTGGATTTAACGGAGGTTCTTAGGCTTTCTTGTGAAATGGCGAATCCTCTTAATGTTGAAATGGTCCCAAGGCGTTTAGTTAAATAAAAAAAAAGCTTTTTTTTTGAAAAAAAGTGCTTTTTTTTTAAGTTAAGGAGAAAAAAGAGTGGTGAAAAATGGGAAGGTTAAGTATGTGGAGGGGGCTTGGTGGCAGAAATATGAATGAATTGGAGCCACTAGTGAATGTAGTGAAGTTTTAGTTAGATTGAATTTGGTATTTCTTTTTAATTTTAATGGGTCATTCAGGTTTTCTACTTTTTTTGTCTTTTAGTAGTTTTTTTTTTATTTGAGATGTCATGTTTCATGTCTAAGATGTTTTATTATTATGGTTGATTAATAGAAATATCTGTTGCCCATGTAAATATTGCTCATATTAATACAACTTTTATGTTTTCCACTACTATATAAATATGTGATGATTATTTTTCATCTAACTATTCCACTTTGGGCTTTTATTTTTGAATATAGGATTTTAAAAAAAAATCTTTTCATATACAAAATTAAATAAAACTATCAAAAGTAAAGTTACTTATTATTGTACTCTCGTTTGCCTTATTTAGCGTATAATATATAAAACCTAAACTTAATTCATTAATATTGAATATGCATGTTTAGTTGCTTTATAACCTATAGGAGATGACAAGTATACATAATTTGTTTATAGTTAACAAATATAGGTAAGATTAAACCATAAAATCTGACTCTCAGTACTCTATTTTCTCTATGGTCTACACTCAAATTTTAATTTAGATTTCTGTTTTTTTCATCTCATGTTTTTTTTCTGTTGTACTTAATTATTATGATTAATTATTTTTAAAAATTTCATTTAAAATATATTTAAAATTTATAAATTATATATTGTTTAATCAATTAAATATTATTAAATCATTTTGAATTAAATAAAATTTATATTGGTAACAAAAGTAAACTTAATTATTGTACTTAATTATATTGGTAATAAAAGTAAACTTAATTTTATATTGGTAATAAAAATTTCTGTTGTACTTAATTATATGACTAATTATTTTTAAAAATTTCATTTAAAATATACTTAAAATTTATAAATTAATATATTGAGCTGTTTAAAAAATCAATTTTATAATAGGGTGAGCATATATAAAATAGAAAAATAAACTCAATAATTATAAAATAGTAAAATTATTAATATACTCCGATTCTAAAATTAACTTGAAATAAACTCAAATTAATTATTTTGAGATATAAAAATTAATTATTTTTATATACTCTGATTTTAAAAATAATAATAAATTTACTTTTAAAAAAATAATAATTAATTTTTCCTATTTTATATATAAAATAATCAGTTTTATAATTATTATTTAGATAGAGAATATTCTTGGTCCATTTCTACATGATTCTTTCAATTATTTCATTTACATTTTTTTCTTTGTTTACTTCTTTTTAAAGTCTAATATATATATATAATGAAACTTCCCCTAGGACCAGTGCTTAGAGTAAAAACACAATAGTGACTACAAAATTAGATATCGGAAATAATTGCTAGGATATTAGGGTACATATGAAATCTCATGCCAATTTTTTTCTTTGTTTTAATTACATTAGGGGAGAACACGTGAAATCTCCCATCATTTTAGGATATTAGGTTAGATTTGATTGAAAATTTTGCATTCATAAATATATAAATTTTGAATATTTTCCTCGTTTAATATAAATGTTGAATATTTTCTTTTTTTCTCTCTCCTTCTTTTTTTCTCATCTTTTTTGAAAACTTTTTTGTTTTAAAAAATTGGTATCAAGGATTCCGAGTAACGATTCAGAGAGAATATGTAATGACAAACGAAAACACAACATCAACACAATTTCTAGCAAATCTATCAGTTTTCAAAAGAGAAAACTATGAACGGTGGGTTGTGCATATAAAGGTCATATTCATATTTTAAGATGTGTTTGAAATCGTGAATGATAGAGTACCAACATTAGGAGCGAATGCAAATGATGTTCAGAAAGCCGCGCACAAGGATCAAAGGAAGAAAGGTGGAAAAACTTTGTTCTTGATTCACCGGCGTGTGGATTCTAACGTGCCCGAGAAGATAATTGAAGAACAAACGATAAAATGAGCATGAGACAAGTTGAAGAACTTGTACTGCAGATATGAAAAAATGAAAAAGATGAAGCTGCAGACATTGTGAAAGCAATTCAAGATGACTCAGATAAAGGAATATTAATCAGTCTCAAAATACCTTTCATGTGTGGTGTTGTTAACAAAATAAATGAAGGCGTGTGATGAATCAATCAATGATTTGCAAAAGATTGAGAAAGTGTTGAGATCTCTGACTGGAAATTTTGATTACACTATGGTGTCAATTCAAGAGTCCAAGAACCTAACTGATATGAAGTTAGAAGAATTTCAAGCTTCATTAGAGGCTCATGAGACGAGGATGAAGCAGAAGAACCCAGAAAAAGGGAAGGTGGCTGAACAGGTACTACAAGCAAGACTCATCAAGAAATTCGGGAAAGAGAAGGTGAAGCAGGGAAAGAATCTTGTAATGATGAGAATTCAGGCAAGAACACAAAGAACCAATATTATTGAATCAAGAAAGTCATGGACAACAATTATTTTGTAAAGAAAGTTGACATGAAAGAGGTGAAGTGTTACAATTGTCAAGGATTTGGCCATTATGCTCGAGACTATCAAAGAAAGAAGGAAGCATGAGCGAGAGATAACGACGAAGAGTAATATGCACATGCTTGATGGGTGATTCTCAAGTGCACGAATAACGTCAAAGTAATACAAAAGATTATCGATCCCATAGAGACCAAACGTCAATCTATCGAGTATTATTGTTACGGTGTTTATCTAAGGCAAATCAATTAAGGGGTTGGTTGTGTAAAATAAAAGTAAAGTGTGAAATTAAAATTAATAATAAAGCAATAGGCATAGATACAATTCATAGAGCTACGTAGTATTCCAGATGTGTACAGATAGGATTCATTATAGGGCAATGTTTTCTACTCGTGAAAAGAACTAATTTAACAGGAACTGTCGCTTTCGCATATTCAGAACCGAGTTTATCCCTAATCGATCCCTCTTATTGTCACATATAAGAAGGTGCGCATTGCGTTAGGACTAATAAACCTATTTTTAAGAAATATAGTTTCTAGACTTAGTTGAAAAGTATTTTAACTTGGAATTTCTAACAAAAAGAGGTTCTTACGAACCGGACTTCAAATCCATAAACGCGTCCGAAAACAGTTTTAAAATCGGTTTTCTTAAACATTAAAGATTTCTAATTGAAATAGCCAAGCGCTTTCGCTTCCTTGGAACAGTCAACACTAACCAAATTTATCTAAAGGTTGGACGACTTTCGATCTTACCCAACAGATTTTAAGTGTAGAAAATAAGTGTTAAAAGTTAAAATAGCCCTTAAGTAATTCTATCGACAATGGTTTAGAATACTAATTATAACTATAATCCTAACATCCTAGCCCTTAAAGTTTAGCTGGACATGGTAAATAAATGCGAGAAGATAAAATGCGGGTAAGTAAATAAAGTGCGATAAAAGGGGTGCACTAAATAAAGTGCAGGTAAGTAAAGGTGCGACAAATAAAAGGCAGGTAAATAAAGGCAATAAACAGAAACCTGCTCAAACGATAGGCTTTAAAATCTTGTACAACTGGAAGTAAATGCGGAAATAAAATGGCGGTAAGTTTAACTTCTATCCAAGTGCTCCAAACTCGATTACAGACTCGATTACACGGTGTAATAACCCCTCGATGTGAGAAGTTTATTACTTTACAGACAAGTGAAATTTATGGCTTGAGTTCTGTTCTTTAAGCTTGGATGGTTTGAAATGAATCAGAACTCTGCTATTTACAGAGGCAGGAAAGTACAGGTAAAGACAGGAATACCCCCAACTCCTTTTGGGAGGGAAACTTTCGTGTAAAGGTGGCGCCCGCCACATGTACTAGGGTGGAAGGAAGTGGGAGACGTGGCAGTTGATAGCAGTTGGCTTGCATCCCTCTCATGGCATCTCCTATGGCTCCCGCCATGGTGGAAGCCATGTGTACATTTCCTCAAAAAGTAGAGTTTTAGCTCGTTTTTCTTCATTTCTTTTCGAGTAGCCTTGAAAATACAAAAACCTGAAAAAAGAAACAAAGTAGAGGCGTAATACAAGAAAATGGAAATAAAATACTAGATAACGTGTGCAAATCGAGTCAAATAAACAATATATTTTAGGTCTATCAAATTCTCCCACACTAAAACATTTGTTTGTCCTCAAGCAAAACATCATGACAGAACAGGGTGATATCCATAAATGACTTGGGCAAGAAGGACTTATAAGTTCAAACTGGGATGAAGTGATAGGTGATGACTCAGTGAACCACGGGTATCAGAATGACACTTCTCCGAAAACACGGACCTAAGCTTCGTTCTTTATAAAAATCAATCTGTACTACCCTATTGTACCTAGGCCTATTTTCGAATTTCCATTTGAGTCCTTTTCATTCCGGTGCAATCACATTAAGCCCGTTATCCGTACGAAATCATGGTGAAGTGACCGGTTAGTGATTCTGATCTAAAGCATGGGGTTCTGGTGCACAAAGTGGTGTAACCCCTTTTATTGGCCCACCTGCAGCTGTGGGGGATCGGATCGTGATCCGCCCTACCGAGTTCAGTACCATAAAACTCTGAACCAACTGACGGTGGGAAGGTATTTTGCCTTGTTTTTATCATTTTTCTTTTTCTTCTTTTTCTTTTTCTTTTTGAAATTACAACTTTGTGGGTTTAAATGACCTTGTGAGGGTTACCTATACCTGAGTTTGTAATTATTTTATATTCTCAGCATACCAATCATTCACTTATTTTCATCGATCCTTCACTTAGATAACGCTTAGGTCGTAGCTGACTGCTAGGATAAACTACTTAGGACTTACTATGGATATTCTATTAAGGCCATGGTATTCAGAGTATTGGGGTCTATTTCTACATTTGCGAAACCTAAGGTGTCATAATGATACCGATGTTTCAAAGAGAATTTCCCAAATCATCCGCATCCTAATACAAA